ATATTTAACCTGTTATTATACTTTATCAACAAAGTTTCTGCTTTTCTCTTCTCAAAAACGATATAGTTAATAAATCAAAAGAATAATATATGTAAATTCTACAGTTTTATATCTGTAAATGTGGATCTCTGCATGAAGGAAGAGACTGACTGTTGTTCTGTTCTGTGTCAATAAAGGTTTAAAAACGTTTGATTTGTTATATTTCCCTCTTCATCTCCAACATGACAGATACTCTTAATCAGAAATATTTTCTCAGTAAAAATAACAGATATTTTAATTTAAATAGGAAATGACGTCTTTTATCCCGGTTAATTATGAAATGTAGCCTTCGAGACTTTTATTTTGAAACATGTAGTCTTATTCTGAAGCGCTACCGGAAGCAGGTTTACCGACCCGGAAGTTGTTCTGCGTCGTGTTTAGCTCCAACTGCAGATCGTTGAATGAATTGAAACGGTTCATTTCTGGGTCAGAACTTCAATTTAAAGGTTCGTAGCGATTTGTATTTACTTATTACATTTACACGATTCTTAATGTTGAGTTTGAAGCCTGAAAAAAAGCGATTTAACAGTTTTTAAACCTAAAAGTAGGTGAATTGACGAGTTAGCATAGCAGCTAACTAGCCGTAGCCCCGTTAAGTTTTATAATAAAATAGTGAAAACACGTTAAAGATCACCTTTAAGATCAAAACTATGTTTCTATTGTCAGCTATGATGATTAATCGATTAACTGAACATTATTCGGCAACAATATTTATCGATTTGGTGAAAGTTTAATCATTTAATCATCAGGTGTATTATTAATAATTCTCTTATTTTAAACTGAATATTTGTATAAAATGTGTTTAAATATTTTATCGACTCAAAGATGAATTAATAGTAAATATTCATATGTCAGATACTTAATAAATACTATTTCATATTTAACATATAAATATAAAATGCACAATATATACAATGAAATAGAATAATATTTAAATGAAATAACTAAACAATAGTGCAAATATTAGTAAGTATAATTTTAATATTTATTTTTTATATTATTTTTATATACTTGTACCACAGTATTTCTCCCCTGTAGTACTAGTACATGACTGAAGTATTTTGTGTCTCCAGGTCTCCTGCTGTGATGGCTCACGTCACCATCAACCAGTACCTGCAGCAGGTGTGTAGTTACACCATGTGATCTCCGCGTGGCGCCGCAGCCTTTAACCTGCTCTTCTTCTTCTTCGTTGGTGTTTTCCTCTGCAGGTGAACGAGGCCTTAGACAACCACGAGGGCTCCTTCTGCTCCGAGCTGCTCTCCTTCAAACACCCGCACGTCGTCAACCCCCGACTACAGGTGAGGCTCCGCCCACTCAGGTAGACGGCTCGGATAGGATACGCTAGGACACGGCCTCACCTGTGTGTGTGTGTGTGTGTGTGTGTGTGTGTGTGTGTGTGTGTGTGTGTGTGTGTGTGTGTGAGACACACAGCTGGCCAGTCCAGAAGAAAAATGTCAGCAGCTCCTGGAGCCGCCGTACGACGAGATGGTTGCCGCCCACCTCAGGTAGGACGGCCAATCAGGTCGCTCGTGTGTGTGTGTGAGGATGTAACCATATTAACAGGACTGTGTGTGTGTGTGTGTGTGTGTGTTTTGCAGGAGTATCTACGCTGTGTCCAATCACGACTTTGTTGAAGCCTACAAGTTCCAGACGCTCGTCATTCAATATCCTTCATGATGGACACACACACACACACACACACACACACACACCAGTAATCTATAGCCGATCACTCCTTGACCAATCACGTCCTTCCTGAGGGCCTTCCAGTCCCACAAAGAGGAGAACTGGTGAGTACATGTGTGTGTTAAGCTAGCTTAGCACAATGACTGCAAGTGAAGGGAAACTGTTAGCGTTGATCCAGACTAAATGTTCTGTGTGTGTGTGTGTGTGTGTGTGTGTGTCTCAGGGCTCTCCCGATGATGTTCACCGTCACTCTGGATCTCAGGATATTCGCCAACAATGTAAGAAATCGCACACACACTGATCTGAGGTCAGCTGCTGCTGGGATGACCAGTGTGTGTGTGTGTGTGTGCGCAGGCGGAGCAGCAGTTGCAGAAGAAGGGTAAAGGTCACCCGGGGGAGATGTTGGAGAAAGCAGCAGAACAGCTGATGAGCTGCTTCAGAGTGTGTGCCAGCGACAAGTGAGTACTAATACACAAATGCAGTATAAGTACACACTTCCTGTGAAGAAGAGTAACTAACAACAGAATAAAGTGTAACCCCGGGTGCTGTGTGTGCCCCTCAGTCGAGCCGGGATCGAGGACTCCAAGAAGTGGGGGATGATGTTTCTGAGCAACCAGCTCTTCAAGATCTACTTCAAGGTCTGAACGTGTCTCTCTGAGGTCTGAACGTGTCTCTGAGGTCTGAACGTGTGTCCCTGAGGTCTGAACGTGTCTCTCTGAGGTCTGAACGTGTCTCTCTGAGGTCTGAACGTGTGTCCCTGGGGTCTGAACGTGTCTCTCTGAGGTCTGAACGTGT